GAAAAAAAATATTTTTGGCCGATTTTAAGAGGTCGACTTAAATCTCATGTGGAATTGCCCATATATTTAATTAATTATTAAAAATAATCTATTTCTAGAAGAATTTTATAGTTAAAAATACTAAAAAAATGGAATTTTGAAGAAGTTACAAATGATTGCAGAAATTCAATTATTTTCAAAAGTAATAAAATTCTTATCACAAAATTCAATTATGTTCAAAATTTACAAAAAAATCTCGAAAAAATCCCAATTATTATCTTTAGAAATAAAAAACTTATTCTTTAAAATTCAATTATTTTCAAAACTTTTAATAAAATTCTTGTCAAAATTTCAATTATGTATTTTTAAAAATTTTCCTCATTTCAATAATTTTTAATATCTACTATTTTAATAAAATTTCTCAAAAGAATTCAATTATTTAAAAACAATATTAATAAAATTGTACGCAAATATTTAATTATTTTCATAAATAATAAAAATTTCACAAGAATTCAAATATTTAGAAATTTGTTATAAGTTTCTTCTCAATAATTCAATTACTTTCAGAAATATTAAAACTCATGGCAGAATTTCAATTATTTTTAATAGAATTTTAATCCAATTCCTTGAAAAATGTAACTATTCTAAAAATTTTTATTACAATTCGTCAAAAGAATTCAATTATTTAAAAATTTGTTAATAAAATTAAAGATGAAACTTTAAGAAAAAAATAAAAGAATAAAATTCTTTATAAGAATTAAATTTTAAGAACCATTCAATTCCCTATTGAAAATCCCCATATGGGAAACCACATGGGAAACCACATGGGATCCTATGTCAAAAACCATGTAAAACCCTACTTCCATGAAGGAAACCACGTGGTTTACCATGTGGTTTCCCATGTCAAACCATATGGGAAATTGAGACAGGATTTTAGTTAGGAATAGACATGGGGAATTTGAACAGTTCATCTATGCATAAAACCATATCAAATCCCACATGTTTTTCCCAGTCAAATCCTAAACCGAATCCCATGTGAAAAACAGTATCATTTATTTATAATTATTTTCCCAAGTCAATCCCCAAGTGAAAAACAGTATCATTTATTTATAATGATTTTCCCATGTCAAATCCTAAACCAAATCCCATGTGAAAAACATTATCCGCCTTATTGAATATCCCTACATGGGAATCCACTTGGAATTTTACAAGGGATTTCACATAGGATTTTATATGGGAATTGACATAGGATTTCATGCAAGATTTCACCTAGGATTTAATATGAGATATCACATAGTATTTTATTAAAGATCCAATGAAGAAATTTTCAAAGGATTAAAAATTATTTAATAAAAAATTAAATAATAAATAGTATTAGTGTTACAAGTCATCAAAAAAGTAAAAAAAACGATCATTTGAAACACGTCCTCTCTGCTACAGGTTCTCAGCTTTTATATACTTCCAGAGTCGTCTCAACAGCGAGAGAAGTCACTTTCGCCACCTAGCGGTGAAAGTATAGGAGCGACAGTAATCTTTATCATTAAAAAAAACCATGTGGAAACCATGTGGAATACCACGTAGGATTCCATGTGGTTTCCTACGTGGGAATTTACATGGGATTTTATATTGTTATTGAGCAATATTGTTATTGAGCAATAAAAAATATGCATAAAATATGAGTACCTATATTTTTTTCTTCTTAATCAAAATTTTTTAACAATTAACAATTTTCTATAGTATTTTTTATAAATAAAAACAATAATAATTTGCATAATAATTGATTAGATCATTCAAATGAAATTCCAATTTGTAATATTATTTAATAAAAATCATGAAAAAATACCTGCATATTTTCGATTTGTCAAATAAAATTTTTTTAAGAAAAAAAGAGCATTCATAAAAACAAACTTTAAACTGTGCGGACAGAATGAATGAAAGAAGTACTAAGATTAATATAGTTAATTTTAAAAATATTTATGTAAATTCATTCGGCGAATTTAATTAAAATTGTATTGAAGATAATAATAAATTTAATTCTTGGGAAGAATTTTTTATTTTTGAAAATAATTAAATTACCTATGTTTTGAAGAATTTTATTTTAATTTTGGAAAGATTTGAATTTTTTCAATGAATTGAGTTAAAATTTTAATTGGAGATAATTGAATTCCTAAGTAGAATTTTATTATTTATAAAAATAATTGAATTATTATATCAAAACATTTTACTCAAATTTTTGGAAAACTGCATTTTTTACAGAATTTTATTACAATTTATTTTATACAATAATAAATAAATAAATTTTGGAAATAATTGATTTTTTCCGAAGAATTTAGTTGAAATTGTACTGGAATTTTTTTGAGATATTTTGATAAAATTGTATTAAAAATAATTGTATTGTTTCAAAGAATTTTGTTACAATTTTGGAGATAATTATTTTTTTTCGATTAATTTAACCCTAGAAGGAGTAACTGGGGTGTCTGGACACCCCAATTACTCCCTAACATACAAAAATTATCAAGATAAGTAAATTTTAATTTTTTTAAAAAATCGTTTTCAATCAGTTAAAATCATCTGATAAAGTATAAATTGATAGGTTATGCATGAAAAAGTTGTATTTTATAAAAAAGAAACATTTTTATACAAAAATTCTATTTTTATGAAAAATAGACAATCTGTATTTGTAACAACTTACGAAATTTGAGTTAAGATTTATTGAAAATTTCTGTGCTCTCTCTACAGTCAAAGATTAAATTCTAATACAAAAAAATGTTGTAAATGCCAGTCAAATTTAAATTATAAATTCTATATTGTTAATAATATTTTAACATATATTATAGAGTTATTTAAAATTGTTAATTAAAACTTTGATTAAATATTAATTTACAGAATCACTTCAAAAATTATAAATTTTATTGTTAATATATATTCAGATATATTAAGTTTGTAAAATTTTAAATTTATAACACTATTTTTAATTTTTAATAAATATTAATTGTTAAAGTCCATTTTATAATTCATTTTCATGATTTTCACTATTCGCCAATTGTCTTAAATTTCTTTCACTTCAGATGTTCAAATAACTATGTTTTTTTTAAGTAATACAAAAACTAATTTTTTTCCTTAAAAGTGTATCTATTTAACTTTAAAAACCTAAAATAGTTTTTAAATTAGTCAAATTTTTAAGAAACAACAGCGTTTTTTATGAAAACAGTCAATTTTGCAATTTTTAGGTGTTTTTTCAAAATTTTTTTAATTTATCAAAATATGAATAATATTATTGTATTCCTTATAATAAACCAATCAAATTCACTATACATAATTTTTTTTACGTCAAATAGAAACCTTATAAAACAAGTTTAAAGCGTGGGGTGTCGGGACACCCCAGTTACTCCTTAGAGGGTGAGTAAATTCACATACTCCTTCTAGGGTTAATTAAAAATGTGTAACGAAGTGAATCGTTACTTATATTCTCCCGAATCTGTAGTGTGTCAGAAAAGTATATTTTGATATAGCGAGTTGTCTTGTTTCTTGTCAAGTCCCTTGTATATCTGTCTTTTATTATGTTATGTGTTGTGAACCGGTTGAGAGTGTCAAAAAGCGTTATAATTTGGAAGCGTCTCAACGGTTAATTCCCAGTAAGAAGTAAGGAATTAATAAGAATCAAAAATTTTTAATTCTTTTGAATTCCGTTTGTGACCAATTCTTTTCATTTTCATTTGGAGAAGCCGAAAAAAAGCTAAGTTTATTCTTTTGAATACCGTTTTAATATTTTAAGCGGAAAAAAAATTTGACGGTTCGAAGATTTGAACCCTTAAGCTTCATTGTCGGAGACAAACAGCTTGTCCGCTCAGCTATTTAAACTGTACTATGACTTACCGAATTTTAGAAGCACTTATCTCAAAGTGTTGCAAACTTCAAAGGAATTAAAAAATTACAAAATATTAAAACGAAATAGACAGGAATTGAACTTACCGAGTATCACACAGTATTTCGGAATTCACAAAAATTCAAAAATTCAAGAAATATTAAAACGGAATTGATTGACTTTCAAAAAATCTTTGCCTCAAAAAGGAATACATAAGAATTGGACAGAAATGGAATTCAAAAAAATTGATAATTTAACATTTTCTGTAAAAAGTTAAAAATGTCCAATTCTTCTCAATTCCTTACTTCTTACTGGGTTATTATTTAAAAAGGGTTCGTTGTGTATCCAAAGCTGTTTTTGCATCGCGGCTTTTTAGTAGAGGAATCCCCAGATGAGATTAGTGAATATTTGTTCGTGTTGAGAAATAGTTCCTTGTCGTTACAAGGAACGTAAATTTGTAATGAAATATTTTCATGCAAAATAAATCGTTCAACTTCAGGAGTGGTAGCCCTGACTCCAAAAGTTGTCTGCTCTATTGACCAATAAGAAAAAGGTTTCAGAAATTATACATTGCAGTAGGCCAAACTGCTATGCTTGTACTTCAATAAAACCGATCACTCTAAAAATAATTGAATTGTTTCGAAGAATTATATTTCAATTTTGGAAATAACTGAATTTTTTCAAGGAATTTAGTTGAAATTGTATTGGAGATAATTGAATTCCTGGGTAGAATTTTATTATTTATCAAAATAATTGACTCCTAAAGGCGCTCGCACAGCTCTACTGCTTGCCTACCTGCCTGCAGGTTGTCATGGTAACACATAAGAGTAAGAGAGTCAGAAAATTCAAATTAAATGTTTTTTCTCTCTCACTCTCATTGCGCCTGCCTGCGCAGGCAGGCAGGCAGTAGAGGTGAGAGAGTACCTTTACGATGAGTTTTATTAAAATTTTTGAAAGAATTTGAATTGTTATGAAAAGTTTTATTATAATTTTGGAAAATAATTAAATTTTTATAAAAAACGATATAAAATTTTTTGAAAATAATGAAGTTCTTTCAAAAAATGTTATTAAAATGCTTGAAAACAATAAATGACAACGACTAAATTATATTGAGTTTAATATTAAATGTATATTAATTTAAATTTGATATCGGCAGGCTTCGAGAGGATCGAGGGAGAGGCACTCGTCGACGAAGACAACGTCGTCATCGGCACATGAATCGAGTCCAAAAGCGACGCGTCTCGACATTGACGATGACACGAATATGGTTGTCAAGGACGGAGAGGATTGTGGACGAGCATCATCGTCCTCCTCCTCGTCCACCACACGGCGAAGAGAAGCCCGAAGGGATTCGGAGGATTCGCGACGATCAGATGATGCATCGTGTGACACGAAGAAAGCACGTTTAGACGACGATGTCACGCCAAGATTGAGACTGAATACTAGTCTGGCAACGGATCCTGCTCTCCGGCCAGCCACCGTTGCCGCTCTCACCATCAAACCTGAGAATGTCTCGCCTCCAAACCAAACGCCACCGCTGCCCGTTGGACTCCAAAATGGTAAGAAAATCACCAAAGCAAAGAAGTGAAAAGGAACTTATTTTTTCATTTTATTTTATTTTACTCTTACAGCGATTGCCTCCGGTCGTCTTTACGTGTTGCCAACGGACGGGAAGGAGACTATAACTCTTGAGCCGGCAAGACCAGCGCCGTTGATTTGTCCTCCATGTGGAATTAGGTTTAGTTCAGCGAGCACTTTGGAAGCACATCAGACATTCTATTGCGCTCATCGGCCACGTCTAGAGGAGGACTCGGCGAATAATGACGAGGACGATGAGAAAAGTGGCAAATTCGACGTACGCAAGGCCTACGCGTGTCCACATTGTTCGTACAGTGCTGACAAGAAAGTCTCTCTCAATCGGCACATGAGGATGCACGCCGCTTCACCCGTGACACCTTCTGTACCACCAGCACCAACAACTCCCGTGGGGAATTCCGCGTCCGTCACTCCCGTTTCCAATGGAACCCTCAACGAGGAGGCCGAGAGATACTGCCGCAATTGTGACATCAGGTCCTTCATTATTTCTTTAACTTTATCTAAATTTCTCAATCTCAAGAAGAAAAGGACTTTTTTTCTTTTTCTCTTCTTTCTCTTTAAATGTTTATTACTACTTTTAAAAGTAAATTGTTAAAAAATATCAAAAAATTATTTGAAAGTATTTGAATTTAAAAAACGAAGAATTCAAATTATTATTTAGGGAAGTTAAAAATTTTTCTGAAAATCAGGAAATCAGGTAAAATTAATTGAAAGTAATTGAATTTTACAAAACTTTAGAATTCAAGTCATTATAAGGATAAGGGAAAAAGTTTGAAAAAAAAATTCTGGAAATCAGGAAAAAGTCTAGATCGACTCTTTTTGCACCTTAATGATAGAACGTCCAAGCGCCCGTCCTGCCGGAAGAACGTTCCGAAAGGCCTTTTCGATATAAGGCTTTTAAAAAAAGGGAATTCAATTTTTCTTTTCCGGCACTCTTTGGGATTAAAGTAGACAAAAAGACGAAGAAATCCATATATTTTAATTTTCAAAATAATAATATTAAACCATTTTTCAAAGCCCTCAAACTTCCTATGTTTTAAAAAGTAAAAAAAAACATTCTTTCGTAAATTTAATGTAAAATCTACAAAAATCAATATTTTTGGCCGGACAAGTCTCTTCCTCTTCAGAAACGTTCAAAAAATGAAAACTAATTGTTTAATTAAAAAAAATTTTTTTAAATAAAAATATTTACATGTACTGAAAGCTGAAGTTTTTGCCTCATATATTTTTCGTTATGTTCATCAAAATCCGTATTAACTTTACAAAGCGATCTCGAAGGGACTCACGTGAGTCTTTTTTGTCCTGCCGGAAGGACGTTGGACACTTTATGGTTAACAGTATGTGACTGTTAGAAATTGAATGGTAATTTTTTCGACCACTTTCCTCTTTAAATGTTTAATAAATTGATATGTGCAAAAGTTTTAATAATTCAAAAATAAATTATAATAAAACACTTTGAAATCGGTAGAGACGAGAAATTGATTAGAAGTGACCGTGACAACATTACTGCCTTTCTTTATTGTATTTTAGATTTTCGTACAAAATGGGGTCGAAAAAATGACCATTGAGTAGCTAAATGACTAAATGGACGAATGAAACTAATATAATTTCTTTCTTGAAAAAATAGGTTCAGTTCGTTGAAGACGTACCGCGCGCACAAGGCGCATTACTGTAATACAAGACACGTGGTAAAGGATGCACAACCAGCGCCAGCATCGGTGAAAGCATCTCCGCCAACGAGTTCGAGTCCTGGTGATTCGCCCCCGCCTCAGCCGTGTCTGGCCCTACCGACAAATCCAATCCTCATTGTTCCTTATTCATTGTTTCGTGGTGCGAGTGTTCTGGCGGCTCCCGCTCTTCCTGCTCCCGATACCGCGTGCTTCCTATTGCCAAATGGATCATTACAGCCAATGACGAGGGGTATTTCCACGACACAAAATACCGTGACCGAGGCACCATCCGTTCTTCGCGCCGCGAATAAACCATCGACACCGTCATCAATTGGTTCAACATCAACGTCACCCACTGCGCCCGCCTCGGCACCACTCGATCTCAGTATCAGACGTTCGCCTGTTCATCAGGACGAGAAGGAGAATAGAGTTTCTCCAGCGCCAACGTCATTGCCACCGCCACCGGGCAGTCCGAGATCAAGGGGCAGCAGCAGTCCACGTTCAAGAACAATTTCGAGCAACACAACAAATGCTGTTGTTTCGAATCCAACAACTGAACTTGCACTTAGATTGACTGATTTGCCACCGCCTCAGGCTCCTGGAGTTCTTGTTAAACAAGGTGTCTCCCGGTAAAATGATATTTCACTACTTTTCAATTGATAAAATAAATAAGCCCCTTAAGGGCTTACGCGTGACTTTCGTTGGCCCCGCGTTCATCCCCGCGTTATTATTATTATTATTCTATAATAAAAAATTTAGCAATATATAAAGTTTTAATTTCACCAATGATTTGAAAACAATTAGAAATTTATATTCATGTCATGGACTATTTTTGCTTTTTTAAGAAGAAAGTTTATTATATTGAGGAAATTAAATGGTCATGAAATGAACAACTTGTTTAATTAACTTTTAATATTTTAATATTATTATTCCTTTTAACTTTTTTCAATTTTTAATTTTAATTATTCTTTTGAAATTTTAATAAATAAATGCCTAATTTTATTTCTTCATTTTTCTAGGTGTAAGGAGTGCAACATTGTGTTTTGCCGACATGAAAATTTTGTGGCCCACAAAAAACATTACTGTCAAGCAAGGGAAAGTACAATAAGTAGTCCACCACCCCCGGGAACGCCTTCACCTCCTCTTGTTCAGCTTATATGCGCCGCTTGTGGTATTAAATTTGCTTCGATGGACAATCTCGCTGCTCATCAAGCATTCTACTGTCCAAAGAGGCCAGAATCTCAGGAACATCATACTCGATGTCACAAATGCAAGGTTATTGTCTTGTCCATTATTTATTTATTTGCCATTATAAACGGGACATGCATTATAATTTACATCCCACAATTTTTACCCTAATTTTATCAATTTTTTTTATTTTTCTACACTATGGATATTCATTTTGACAAAATTTTCAATTCTTCCGTGTTTTTATTTAACGAAATTTTCACTTCACTGAATATTTTTAATTAGAAAAATTGTCTAGATTTCGAAATTTTCTTCAGTAAAAAATTGTAGTTTGTAGTTTCTTTACATTATTTTTTTGCCTATCTTTTTGTATGACTATATATATATATATGGGTGAATCTCTCAAAAAGGACAAATGACACGTTCAAGACATTTTTCTAAAAAATATTTAAAATTAATAAAAATAATGGCCGCCATATGATAATATTTAACACGATTTAATCAGGTCATATGAGAAAAAAAATAAGTTTTATATTATCTGAAATATCCATATTCATATGGTGCAAAAACTCCATTCCGTTACCGTGCATGAAGCTAATTTTACTCAAAGAATGAATATTACTTCCCATTTAAAATCTAATTTCATCTCTTGTTCAGTAATATTTATTAATTATTCTTTATTTTACTTAAATCCGGAAAAGGTAAGGCAAAATATTTCAAATTCTATTTTCTAGAATTAAATTAGTTTTGTGCGCCATTGAAAACTCCATTCCATTACCGGTCACAAATATACAAATTAAAGATAAACAAACATGTTAGGGAAGCAATACAAAGGTAAATAGTATTTAGAATACTAGTGTGATTGAAGATCAGTGCGAATTAGGATGAAAGAAAAGAAAATATTCAGTATAAATGAGATTTTCAGTTGAGTAGTCGGCATCGACAGAAAGAAAACTCCATTCCGTTACCGCAGTAAATTCTAAATTTTTATAAGTAAATGATAAATATTATTATTAATTTATAGAATATTCTTTTATTTAAATAAAATATAGCAAATACTATTGATTGCTTGTTAATAAAATTTTATCTTTTTACATTAGAGTCAATAAATTTCGGAGCTATCGAAATTAACAAAACTCCATTCCGTTACCGCCAGTGGCTTTTCTTTTTTTTTGATAAGTAAATGAAAATTTTTATTAATAATTCTTTGAATAATTTTTTATTTTTATAAAACTTAACGACATTTAACGTTTTAATTCAAAGTTTAGAAAATTTTTTAATATATAAGTAATAAATTTAAGCGTCGTCCAAGGGAGCAAAAACTCCATTCCGTAACCGACAGTACTTTTTTCGTTTTTTGCTAAATAAATGATAAATAAATTTAAAACTCATTTCTCGGGGGTTTTTGGAGCCACTGATTACAAAGTTAAAGTTAGTTCTTTAAAATTCAAAATGGCGGATCCAAAATGGCGGACGAAATATTTTAGAATTTAGTGAAATGGCTTAAATTTCGTTACTCGGGAGTTTTTTGGGTCGCTGATTACGAATTTAATGTTAGTTTTTTAAAATTCAAAATGGCGGATCCAAAATGGCGGACGAAATATTTTAGAATTTAGTGAAATGGCTTAAATTTTCTTACTCGGGGGTTTTTGGAGTCGCTGATTACGAATTTAATGTTAGTTTTTTAAAATTCAAAATGGCGGACGAAATATTGAAACAAGTTGTTCATTTCATGACCATTTAGCTTCCTCAATGTATAAAAATTGCGGTATTGCAAACTTTTGAAAAACTATGTACAAAAGGGTTCGTCCAGAAGATTTGTTAAAAATAAAATTATATAAATCATTTATAATTTATAAGTTGTTATATAAATATTTGGTGAAATTTACACTTTCATTTGCCAATTGCTTCTTTTTTATGATAGAATAATCATTTCAAAATATTAATATTAATATTAAATAAATTATGAAAAAAATACAAAATTTGAATTTTTTTTAAAAAGAAAAATATTTATTAATTTGATAAATTTTGATAAAATATATACTTTGTATACATCAATCGATTCGTTTTCTTGTCAGGAATGCAATTTTGAGAAAAATTAATGAAAATTTTAACAAATAAAAAAATTATTTCAAAAAATACAAAAAAAAATTTTTTCTGAATTTTAAAAAAATTGTATAAAAAAAATTTTTGTAGATATTTTCGAAAATCCTTGTGTCAGATTTTAGGTATTAATGACTGCAATAAACCTGCAAAATTTCAGGACAATCCATCAAAATTTGTCTGAGATAATTTGTACACAATTTTTGTGACATACACACATACATACACACACACATACATCTGGACATTTGCTCATAATTGAATATACATATGTTTTAGATGAAAATGAGTCCATATAACCTTCTTTTGAAAAATTTAAAATCGTCACCAATGCAAAGCTTCCTCATGAGGAAGCAAAATTAATTGGATTAGCTTGAAAATAAATTCTAAATAAAATTCATAATCTTCACCCTCGAAAACCTCCAAGTATCAAATTTCAAGCTAATCCAATTTAATTTTCAAATATTTTATCCGCCATTTTGAATTTTAAAAAAATAACATCAGATTTGTAATCAGCGACCCCAAAATCCCCTAGACAACAAATTTGAGAAGAATCCAATCAATTTTTACAAATTTGACCGCCATATTGGATCCGCCATTTTGAATTTTTGAATTATGACCGTAATCAGCGTAATCATTATTCGTAATCAGCGACCTCGAAAACCCTAGAGTAACCATTTTCAAGCCAATTCACTCATTGTATTTGCGACAAAAAATTAAACAATTATTTTACAATAAACAATTATTTTTTAAACAATAATGTTTTTAAAGATCGTAACCACATATTTTAGAGACTTACTATAGTCCTCCTCTTCTCATAGGAATAGTCATTTTAATGTTTTTGAAACTTTTTTTTTTAATTACAATTTAGAATTTGTTCTTTTTGAGAGATTCACCCATATGTTACCGGCAAAACCCGAAGTCCAGGCATTTTGCGAAATGCCTAGGCAATTCGAGAAATGCCTAAGAATTTAGAAAATACCTGAATTTCCTAGAGATTTACAGGCTGTTCTCGAATTGCCTAGGCATTTCGCGAATTGCCGGGGCCGTTTTAGGCAAATTATCAAGTTGCCTAAAAAGGCTTCGTCATTTCGCGAAATGCCTAGTCAATTCGAGAAATTGACTAAAGAATGAAGTGTACAGTAAAAAATTATTATTTGTTGCAACACGTCGAACTGTTATGTCATTTTGAGTTGCATAGAAGATTTTTTTTTCTACAGAGGCATCTTTTTGTATTGCACGGTTTTGTGCAATTACAACGCAAATATCCTTGTCCAGACTTATTAGACTGTTGTGTTGCAACAGAGCGCAGGGAAATGCTCTCGTTGTGAAGAACTTCTTCCTTGTCAATAAAGTTCGTCTTGCATTTTTCGAATTCTGACCTGCAAATATAATTACAATTGTTATTAAAATTGGTAAAAGAAATTAGTCACTATAAGAACTAATGATGAATTATAATTTACCTGCTGTATAATCGGTTTATTATACCATAACGTGTCCCAACTTTAAAAAGATCGTGCTCTATTTCTAAGCAGTAGCGTAACAAGAGAGGCCGGGGCCCTGGGGCGAGTAAAGCCTCGGGGCCCACTAGTAGAAATGAAATTTGATTAACAGTGGGAAATACCTACCAAATACCTTACAGCAGTAATAAAATTACTGCTGATTCTCTTTCAAAACATTTATTAAGTTTTTCTAGTCGTAAGAAATATTTATGGAAGAATGTTGAGACTAGATAACAAGCTTAAAGTATATTTACTCAAAGTCATAAATAAAAATTTTAGTATAATTTATTATAACAATTTGACAATAGAATGATTACAATATATATTAAAGATAAAATTTTATCTTTAGAATTTATTTAAACAAGATTTTTAATTTCAAATATGTTCATATTAAATATCAATAATAATTTATTAATTTAATAAAATGAAAAATAATAATAAATATAATAAATAAATAAAATAATTTAAAAAATTAATAATAATCTAAGTTTTATAATTAAATCGTCTTAATCGCGGGGCCCCCAAAGTCGCGGGGCCCCGGGATTACGCCCGGTTTGCCCTATGGTAGTTCCGCCACTGTTTCTAAGACTACTCCAACAACGTTCCTAAGGTCACTTTTCGCCTTATCCACATCCGGAATTGGAATTATTATGTTGTCTCCAACTTCAATCGCTTCATGATGTTTATCAGAAACTGTTTTCATTTTTTTGGCTTGCCTTTCTAGCCCTTCTGCAGCTTCTTGTCTAGCGGACATAATTTCTTCTTGTCTTCTGTCTATTGAGTCGTCTGATGATGAACTTCCACTTGCATCGTCATTTTCATCTATGTCATTACTCTTCAGCACGTCTTGAAGATCATCTTCAGTTCGGATTTTTTTTATAATGTCACTCGGTAGCTTAGAAGTAGAGAGGCCAACTTTTGGATCCGTACCAAACATTGCTTTATATGGTGCCTGTTTTATTCCGGAATGCAGAGATCTATTTTTCATAAATTGAATAAATTTTAATCCTTCTGCCCACTTGGTCGTTTTATTATCTTTCATCCACACAGCTAACATGTTTTCAATGTCTTGATTTGCTCTCTCAACCGACCCCTGGCTTTGGCTGTGTCTTGGTTTTCCGTGGACAATTTTGAGTTCAGGACATAATGATGCTAATTCTGTGATAATCTGATTCACAAATTCACGGCCATTATCAGACTGAAGGATAACAGGGGCACCGAAAGTGAGAAATATGTCTAACAGTTGATAAGCAATCTGTAAAATATAATATAATATAATATAATATAATATAATATAATATAATATAATATAATATAATATAATATAATATAATATAATATAATATAATATAATATAATATAATATAATATAATATAATATAATATAATATAATATAATATAATATAATATCTATATTAATAAAATCAGACTTTTGTCTGTACATTGCACGAAATTAATTTTTTCTAGCATAATTTATTTATTTGAACAACGGAGAATCCAAAAATGGTAATAGAAAATTTCCTGTCTGTATGTATGTATGTATGTATGTGTGTATGTATGTATGTATGTATGTATGTCCGCAAAATTTTGTTCGCGTATAACTTGAAAACGTCTTGACCGATTGAAGTAAAATTTGGCAATCTTTCAGGTATTGGTCTAACTTAAAATATTAGCTATATTTGATGAAAAAATATTGAGCTGAACAAAAGTTATGAATTTTTCAAAAAATTCAAAAAAAATTTTTTTTTCAATTTTTGCAGATTGGCATAAATTTTTTAATTTATTAATAATATAAATGATTTTAAAGATATATAAAAATAAATTGAATAAAAAATAATATTAATATGAAAAAAAATTATGAATTTTCCGAAAAATTCAAATTTTTTTTTAAATTTTGACAGATTGCTGTAAATTAATCAGTTATGACTTTTGTAAGATATATATAAGCAATAAATTTGCAGATTTTAAATATATTAATTAGAACGGGAGGTATTCAATTTTTTCAAAAAATTTAAAAAATGGAAAATTTCCAAATTTTATATTTTTTAATGTATATTTTTTAAACTTTCTGTAATTAAATATTTTTATTGTTTATACTCCTGCCCTATTGGCCTTACGCACTTCGACAAGAGTCCCCGAGAAATACTTTTTTGGATTAAGCATAACCATTCTACTTTAGAAATTTTCTATATATTAACCTAATTTGCGTCTACAGCCGACTTTATTAGGAGTACTCAATTGCAAAAATTTCGAAAATATTAAAAATGGAGATTCTTATCATAAAATTGATACTGCAGGAATTCAAGAACATGTGATACGATACTTGCATTATGCTACTGGGCAAAAACTTAGATAGTAAAAAGTTTGGTTATTTTAATTCTAGATTTAACTTTTAGGGATGTTTTGAGCATTGTAAAGGCAAAAGTTAAACAGGGTGTCTATTATTATTTTTGTTTAACAAACTATCCGGTTTTTCCCAGCTTTGTCCAAATTTTTCCAGGTGTATCTTTTCTCATCAAATATAAATTTTCTTGATAAGAATTAACAATAAATAAAACTACAAATGGCTACAAAAATTCACTTATTTTATGAAAATACTCTTCGACGGGTTTTTGTTTTTACTAATACTTTTAACAGGGGTTCTACCAACTGGAAAAAACGGGAAATATGCAGGAATTTAATTTAATCGGGAAAAACTGTGAATTCAGCCTGCAATATAGGTCTTATTTTAGATTTTAGCAATTATGATACAATTAGTTCGAATTTTACTTTACTCTAAAAACTGGTGGAAATTTTGGATTAACTTATAATACAATAATTAAATTTCTACAAATAATTGACAAAACATTGTTCTCTGCATTTTAATTAATTAAAAATAAATTATTTGATGGTAAAAAGTCAATCACTGATTTAAAATAGTAATATTTTTCTAATGAAATAGTTAATAGTAGCTAAATATTATTTTTTCCGGGCAAATTAAATTCCCCGCTATTTCCCATTTTTCGAGACTGGTCGACACACTATTGAATGTATTTGTAGAAACTAAAACCCGTCGAAGACGGGTACGACAGCTAGTAATATAATATAATATAATATAATATAATATAATATAATATAATATAATATAATATAATATAATATAATATAATATAATATAATATAATATAATATAATATAATATAATATAATATAATATAATATAATATAATATAATATAATATAATATAATATAATATAATATAATATAATATAATATAATGTTTTCAAATCTTTATTTATATTTTTTAAATTTTTGAAATCAAAGTAAACAAAACTTTTAATATTTGTTAAAATTAAATAATGTAATAATAAACTGTTTTAAAAATGAAATACCTCTGCTGCACGTTTTGATGACAGTGGTCGAAGAATAACAAATTTTGTTAGGTGGTCCTGGTACACCATGACGAATTCGGGTATTTCCTAAATTCTTAAGCATTTCTCGAATTGCCTAGGCATTTCGCAAAATACCTGGTCTTCGGGTTTTGCCGGTAACACATATATATATATATATATATATATATATATATATATATATATATATATATATATATATATATATATATATATATATATATATATATATATATATATATATATATATATATATATATATATATATATAATTCGATTTACTAAGAATCTCGATAAATATGAAATTACGTTTCGTTCAAAAAGAGTACGATACTCTAAAGTTTTTATTTCGACACTTGGTGTATTAATTGGAAAAATTTGTTTTAGGCAATAATCGAATCAGGAAGTACTCATACGTGTACCAGCAGTTCGACAGGTGGATGGCGATGTCCAGTTTGCGGTGCAGTGAGTCCAACGGCTTTGGCCGCTCAGCGACATATGGATGCTCATCAAGGTGTTAAAGCTTTTAGGTGTACAATTTGTCGATATAAAGGAAATACCCTTCGTGGCATGAGAACACATATCAGAATGCACTTTGAAAAACGTGGCACAGATCTGCAGGTGTGTAATTCTATATCGTCTGTGTATCAGATTTTTTTCCTTCAATTTTTCATTTTTCTTTTGTATTTTTGTTGAATTTATTTTCTTCTTGTAATTTTATTCTTATTTTTTAATTTTCTTCACGTACTTTTATCGAATTTATTTCATATTAGTATTAATTTTATTCTGTTAAATTTATTTTCTTCTAGTATTTTTAATTATCGAATCTTCTATATTAATAATTGTTGTTAGTTGTTGTTTGCTTTTTTGTTGAATTATTTTCTTTCTGTAGTTCTATAAAGTTTTTCATTTTCTATTTGAATTATTATTGTATAGTTTTCTCATAGAGGAATTATTGTAATGCCAAAATTTTTCGAGTTCGATTTTTTGACATATCTTTATGTTATTTGACCTCAGGAATTCAAAAATGACATTTTTAGAAAATGTTTTTCCCCATTTGTTTTTGTGCGAGTGTGTAAACATTACATTTTCATAAATATCTCGAGATCATGAAGAGCTTTAGGGATGAATTTTTTTTAAATTGTAGGTCTCACTGCGGACATAAAATGAGAGTACTTTAGGATAGATTAATAAAGTTTTAACTATATTGTTTTTGGATTTTTAACTTTGACCATAACTTTAAAAAAATGTTAGGATACCTATAAATGTTTTTCCATAATTTTGTAGAGTTTTTTAGGCGCATCTTTTGAGCCCTAATTCAACATTTTTCGTACATATTAACCGGAGATATTAAACTTTTAAAAATCTAAAATTTTGGAAAATTAGACTTTTTTGAAAATTTTGTTAAAAAATGTATAAGTAACGTTAAAAATATCGTTACCAACTTGTAGAGCATTAAAAAACGCTTTGATTGACCTATTTTTAAACCTAATTCGATCATAAATTTCGAAATTATTGGTATTTTAAAAACCAAAAATTGTGGAAAATGACATTTGCTCAACTTTTTTGTTTGAAAACTTCTCTTCTTGCAATTTTCTTCTCGTATTTTTTATTTGTACCAATTTTATTCAATTCTTAATTTTCCCTCTTTTGTAGAATTTAAAAAATTTTTAAATTCTAAAATTTGAAATATACCCGAAAAAAAATAATATGGTACTAATTTTATGGAAATTTATATCATTGCATACGAATTCGTAAATTTTAATTAATATTTAAAATTCGATTAACGGAAAAATGAAATAATAATATAATAATAATAATAATAATAAACTAATAATCAAACTATAAGTATAATAATTAGGAAAAAATAAAAGTGCTCTAAAGAATTTCTTTTGTTTCTCTCTTAGGAGGAAAATTACATAACATGCGTCCTGGATGATGATACAACAACAACACCAACACCAGAACCACCACCGGCCGTAACACCCGATGAAATTCCCGCTGAAACACAAATGAATGGAAAAGCGGAAGTGAGAAAAAGTAGTCCACAGCCTGCTGTAACAAATAATCCACCACAGCCACCAGCATCACAAACGTTGACAGTCGCCGGAAAAGTGAAACAAGAACGAGAAGACACACCACCACCTGAGGAAAGTCTAGATCCAAATAAAACTGGACCACGATATTGTCGATCCTGTGACATTAGCTTTACCTATCTGAGCACATTCATCGCTCATAAAAAATTCTATTGCTCCAGCCACACCGGTGAAGCTAGTAACAATAACAATAATAACAATAATAATTCCAGTAGCCATACATCTACGCCACCAACTGGAAGGGCAGAGGCTCCTGTACTATAAATTTTAGCCAAAACTCTATTTTTTGCCTTCCTCGCAGTGAAAACAATAATCTCTGAACTCTAGTATTAATTCTATCAATTAATTTATTCTTCTCAATTCTTTTTTTAAATCTTTTTTTGTTCCCTAAGAATACTTTTTTGAATTTCTTACCGATAGCAATTAAGAAGCAGAAGAAGAAGAAAATTATTAATTCCCCCAAATGGAAATTTTCAAACGTTCAGAGATGACCTTTTATTCACTTTATATGAAATCCTCCTCGAAATATTTAAAATCGAGACGAAAAAAAATAACGGACTATCAATAGGTCTGTTAATTGTTGCCAGTTTATACATAAAAATAGAATGTCGGCTTACATAGTTAATTACACAGTGTGATTTTCGTTGATCCAGGGAATTGTTCTTAAATTTAAGTCCAAATACCAACCTTGTAAATATACGCATATATATATATATATATATATATATATATATATATATATATATATATATATATATATATATATATATATATATAATTATATAATATATACTAAAAATAAGTTTCAAAAGTCAAGGGCGAATGAGAAATAAAAAAACACTTTCTTTACCGAAATATATAAGTCAAAGAGAGGAAGAATGAAAATTTGAAGATGTTTTCAGCCTTTATGTTGTGTATATAAATATCGTACTGAGATGATTATCATCAATGATCTCCTGTTTGCGATTTTTTTTTAAAGTGAAATGAAAGAATGGTGAGAAAAAAAAATTTCGAAAGCGAGTCTCGGATTTTTCGAAATCGACCCCCCCAAAAAAAAAATTAATAAATAAAAAGTGAGGGTGTGCAATCTCATGACTTAAAATAATCTCGTAGTAATAGTTAACATACCTAAGGAAAACAAAAAAAATAAATTAAAACATGAATGAATGTAAAATGTTGTACAGTAGAGGAAATAGGAATTAATTTAGCGAACATCCTGAATGATACCAATCTCAGCTTGTGAATCTGTTAAGTTACAATTGCAATATAACATTAATATATTATTGTAATAACGACTAGTTACATGCCCAACCATTTAAAAAAAAGTGCGCTTGCTTCTATTTTTTCAAGAGCGTTCTTTTAATTTTTTTGTCTGTTTCAAAATTATTAATAGATAAATTTATCGAAATTATTCTTGCGTTTTTAAATAATTGAAAGTTTAAAAAATTGTTACAGGTTTTTAAAAAAAATCTAGTTGAGGTATGACGACCGCATTCTAATACAAAAATACTTTTTGTTGTATATTAAAATTGTAAAGATTACATTCTTTTGTATCGTTTATTTCATTCCTATTAAAATGAAAATTAAATACGATATTGTTTTAATTTATTGTAGTTAAAATTAAAATATAGGTATTTAGTTATAAAAGCGGTTTTTTTAATTTTGGCAGTTTGTCGTCGATAAAAATACCTAAAAATTATTTTTTTTTAAATTTTAGTCAATTATTTAGCATAATTGAATTGTATGAATTAAAATTCATTAGAAGTGTTAGTTATTGATCTGATTTTTTGAGTAGTTTTTTTATATTCTGTAAATATACAGAGAGAAAATTTTTATTACATTTTTTCTTAATTGAGTAATGAAGGGAGAGCTTTTTTCTTTTAATTTTAAAATATGGATTTTTGGCGAGCGCACGAATGTATAAATTAGAATTAAGGCCAGTGTTACATGTATACGCAGTGTACTCATATCATACGATGGAATCATTACAAGAAAAAAAATGTATACTGTTTTACGCGCGAAGATTTTACGGTAATGTTTTGCTATCTTTTTATAGAATATTATTTTTCTCTCTCTTTCTTTCCTAAGTGCAAAATGAGTTTATTGGTTTTACGACGAGAGCCAGTATCGATACATATAGATTTGTGATACCAACTTACTCACTGTATGAATTTAAAAAGAAAACATGAAAAAAGGTACCAACATTCTACCGTAAATTACGTTTTTACTTCTATTGTTATCGTCTCGTTAAAAGAAAAAAAGCGAATTCTTCCCCTCATTAATTCCATTTTTAGGTGAAATGGAAATTTTTTTTGTCGCGTCGTAAAAAGAAATTTTTTTTTGATATTATGTCTCAGGAATCTAATTTATTTTCTTGTGAACTTCTTGAAAATTTTTAGAATTTTTAATAATATATTTAATTAATTAAAAAATCAAAATTATTGAAAACGGGATAATTTCCGTTTATTACTTGTGCGACTGTTATTTTCTTTCTTCAAAATCAAAAATTCAATGATTAGGCTTTTATTGTTTTTATTTTGATAGATGGATTTTTACACACAAGATATATCTATATAAATATGTAATAAATATATACAAATAAAATTCTGCGACATTTAAAAAAAAATGTGTTCATTATTTATCACTAACACAACTATATACACGCGCGTGAAATTTTGACACCCCTTGTTAGTTATACTTTCTTTTTGAAATTTAATGAAAATTTATTGTTTTCTAAAAAATATAATTTTCCGAAATACAATTTTACAAATAAAATTAAATTAAATTCTTTCAAACATAAAATTTATTTTAATGAAATTTTTCAAAACTTTTAATTGTTTCAGTTTTTAAAATTAATTATCCTTATTTATGCAATTTTTTAAAATTATTTTCGGGAATTTAACTATTTTCAAAAAATTTTATTTCCGAGTTTTTAAAAAACACATTTTTTCAGAATTTCTAAATAAAATTGTTCAAATTTAATTAATTTTTGTTTAATAAATATTTGAATAATTTGTAATCAAACTGCCTTAACTTCACGTGATGATTATCTAGATTATTATATTATATTATTGGTAATACTAGATAACTTCTTTGCAATGTTATATAGTTATAAAATATGCAAAAAATAAAACTAATTTTGAGTCCCTTTTAATTCTAAAACATGAAAAATTTATTCTTTTTTTTACTATTTAATTGTTATTATATAATATTTTTTTACATAAAGATCTCTATCACAAAAATATAATTTAAAATCTTAACTTCTGTTTAAATCGTTCAGGAAAGTTTCACTCCCTTTTTTACGAGTATTTACAAAACGAAGAGATGAATTTCTTAAAAATATAACATTTCACACGTAAGAATTAAGTTTTGATAAATAAATTAAAAATCTTTAATCTTCTTCATTGGAATCACTTTTACTAGAATCTAAAACATAGTCACCATTATCATCATCATCATCATCATCATCGTCGTCGTTGTCGTCATCATCAAGACCACGTTTCATTCGAGCTTTGAATCTCGCATATTTCGTACCAAAATAATCTTCATCGTGTTTATCAAGACCATAAGCAAAATCTTCATCATCGCTTGATAAATCTGATTCCTCATCTTCGATTTTAAGCCTACGAACTGCGTATTTCATATCATCTTCTCCGATGGAATATTCTGAATGATCTGAATCTGGATAATCATTTTTCCAATGTGACTCGTCATTAGAATCTTCGGAATCATCATCGGAAATATATACCCCATTTTCTCTATACGAATCAAAAACCAATTGATCGTGAAATTTCTCAATATAATCGATGGAATTTTCGTCTACTTCCTCAACTGTATAATACAAATCGTACACATAGTTACCCTGCAAAAGAAAATTAAAAAATAACTTCCCAACTTGAAAAAATGTATTCTAAACAATTTTCGCTTAAAAATATTCTTAGTGGTAAAAATTAAAAATCATACTTTGTCAGAATTTTTCAGTTTCTCTTTACATGAGTCTGTATTCTCAACGTCAATAACAGTTATCTCTTCAATGAGAGTATCTTTAGTTTTAGAATTATTCAACGATCGAAATCGATTAATAACTTTAAATCTATTTTCCATAGACGATTCTTTTCTTTCCTTGCGAACTTTATCGGTGAGATTGACAACGTGTTGCTTGTAATTTGTCTTTAGTTCTTCCTTTGTATACTTTTTTGTAATGTGGTCCAGCACATTCTGATCCTAAACAATGGAAAAAATTTCTATTTATGGCTCTATTAGAAGAAACGTTTGAAAACGTATTATATTTATATTGTAAGGGTAAATAAATTTTGTATGAAATAGGTTAGGAAATCTTTATCAAAATATTTTAATATTCGCGTAAGGAAATACATGAATAAAATTGTTTTTTAAATAAAATATTTATATTTACCGGATCTTTGACGGTACCAACAAATTTAACAACTGTTGAAATTGAAGTGGTTTCTTTGTTCGAATCTTTGTTTGGTTCATCAGAGCTGATTTTTCGCTTCTTACATGCAACTAAGAGTGCATCTATCGGCTCATCATCATTTCGACGCTTCACACGAAATACAGATGCCATTTTTATTAATAATAAATAATACAATTTAGTAGAAAACACTTATTAAAACAATAATTATTAGAGACCTATATGAGACCTATAGAGACTTCAAAAAGCATGCAATTTTGATGCAATTCTCAATTTTAAGGTTAAATTTCTAGCGTTGTTAAGTGAAGTTTGCTGCAAGTCGCCCTTTTCGATATCTCTCGAAGAGAAAAGAAAACTCGAAAATTGAATTACTTAAAATAAATAAGTATTAAATAGTAACTAATTCTATTTTTACTTTTTTCTGGTAAACTTTAATTTTAAAAAATGGAAATTATATTTTAATTTTTCTAAACTAAATTCAAAATTTCAAATTCCATCCCGCTTAAATCGTCTTGTAATCGCGAAGTATCGATTATGCGCACAGAACGGAACAAGCCATAGAGATAATATAAATAGAGTGGGGATGGTTTGCATGTATGCGTCCGCTTGATAGAAAGAGAAAGAAGATTTAGCACCAGTAGGTGTCTCTCTTGCGCTGGAGCTCATTGAAGGACAGATACTGGTGTTAAATCTTCTTTCTCCCTCCAACCCATTCTGTTTATGGCAGGACACTTCCCCCACACGCTGCCGCTAGTGTTCTAAGTCGGTTATATTACCCAGAGAATATTACCGAGAACGAGAATATTACCGAGAATATAACCGACGATTAAATTCTCTGAGAATTTAAGAGAATGTGACATAACCTCACTTTTGTCATTGCTCTGTGGTAAATTCGATTGTCCGACGTTGTGTTTTTATTTAGTAGTTGTTATTTTGTTTATTTAAGTGACTATATATTTAAAGATTTAAAAAATGACAAAACCAAAGAGTGTAAAATGGAAATATTTTAAAAGCAATGAATACAAAAACAATTAAATTCTTCTGTAAATTTTGTAAATAATAATATGCCACAAATGCTATATATTAAAGGTACTTGCACAGCTCTACTGACTGCAGGTTGTCATGGTAACACATAAGAGTAAGAGAGTCAGAAAATTCAAATTAAATGGTTTTTCTCTCTTAAGGTACACTCTCACTTCACTGCCTGCCTGCCTGCGCAGACAGGCGCCATAAGAGTGAGAGAGAAAAAACATTTAATTTGAATTTTCTGACTCTCTTACTCTTATGTGTTACCATGTCAACCTGCAGGCAGGCAGGCAGGCAGTAGGAGCTGTGCTAGCGCCTTTACTCTCGCAGCAGAGCTGACAGAGAGCCTTTATTCACACACTGTAAAAAAATCTGCTGTAAATTTACTATGTCCGACGTTGGAAAGTTTGGTCACTATTAGTGTTCTTAAATTCTCGAGAATTTAAGTTGGGGTAATTTCCCTAAGGAAATTACGGTAATTTAATTTTTTTAAGAGACTATAAGAGAATTTAAGAGAATATTGAGAATTTAAGTTTATTTATTTAAATAATGTATATTTATTATTTTTATTAATATAAATACATATATTTCAGCACAATTGCGATGATTACTTTTATCTAAAAGAATTTTTTAAGTTATTTATGTAAATAAAAAAAAGTAAAACCACATATTTTTTAAGTTAAAAATTTAATGTCATTTACATTTATAAGGTTTATAAAATATGCGTAACTTAGTACGAATAAAAGTTTAGATACTTTTGAATATAGACATATATAAATAAAGAATAAGTAATATATTAAACATTATATACAATGAATTTAAAATTTTTTAAAATAAATATTTTGAAATTATTTGCACTGTAAAAAAATCTGGGGTAAAATAACACGAAACTTGTAATTTCACACATCAAAATTATAGGTTGTACGTAGTAAATTTATTTCGTTCCAAAAGTAGTTTTACTATTTTTAATAATTTTACATTATACGACTATGTAATTTAATAGTTTTGTGTAAATTTACTACGTCCGACGTAGGAAAATTTGATCACTATGTCCGACGTGGTATTTTTACATTGCGTGTATTTCTACACTTTGACGTAATACGTCGCACGATCTGTACAATTACATGGCGAATGTAATTTTCTTATTCCTTTAAGATTTTCAAAAAATATTCAAGTTTTTATAAATAACTCTAAAAAAGTGTATATAATGTACATTTATAGAAAGTATATGCTAATTTATAAGTAAATAATAATATAACAAAAAGTTTTGGGCTATATTTCATAAATACAAAAAGTTACGACTGAAAATATTATTTCAAAAAATATTTGCAGGTTATGTAGATTACAGTCGGCGTGTAAAAATACCACGTCGGACATAGTGACCAAACTTTCCAACGTCGGACATAGTAAATTTACAGCAGATTTTTTTACAGTGTGTGAATAAAGGCTCTCTGTCAGCTCTGCTGCGAGAGTAAAGGCGCTAGCACAGCTCCTACTGCCTGCCTGCCTGCCTGCAGGTTGACATGGTAACACATAAGAGTAAGAGAGTCAGAAAATTCAAATTAAATGTTTTTTCTCTCTCACTCTTATGGCGCCTGTCTGCGCAGGCAGGCAGGCAGTGAAGTGAGAGTGTACCTTAAGAGAGAAAAACCATTTAATTTGAATTTTCTGACTCTCTTACTCTTATGTGTTACCATGACAACCTGCAGTCAGTAGAGCTGTGCAAGTACCTTTAATATATAGCATTTGTGGCATATTATTATTTACAAAATTTACAGAAGAATTTAATTGTTTTTGTATTCATTGCTTTTAAAATATTTCCATTTTACACTCTTTGGTTTTGTCATTTTTTAAATCTTTAAATATATAGTCACTTAAATAAACAAAATAACAACTACTAAATAAAAACACAACGTCGGACAATCGAATTTACCACAGAGCAATGACAAAAGTGAGGTTATGTCACATTCTCTTAAATTCTCAGAGAATTTAATCGTCGGTTATATTCTCGGTAATATTCTCGTTCTCGGTAATATTCTCTGGGTAATATAACCGACTTAGAACACTAGTCACTATGTCCGACGTGGTATTTTTACACGCCGACTGTAATCTACATAACCTGCAAATATTTTTTGAAATAATATTTTCAGTCGTAACTTTTTGTATTTATGAAATATAGCCCAAAACTTTTTGTTATATTATTATTTACTTATAAATTAGCATATACTTTCTATAAATGTACATTATATACACTTTTTTAGAGTTATTTATAAAAACTTGAAAATTTTTTGAAAATCTTAAAGGAATAAGAAAATTACATTCGCCATGTAATTGTACAGATCGTGCGACGTAATATTACGTCAAAGTGTAGAAATACACGCAATGTAAAAATACCACGTCGGACATAGTGATCAAATTTTCCTACGTCGGACGTAGTAAATTTACACAAAACTATTAAATTACATAGTCGTATAATGTAAAATTATTAAAAATAGTAAAACTACTTTTGGAACGAAATAAATTTACTACGTACAACCTATAATTTTGATGTGTGAAATTACAAGTTTCGTGTTATTTTACCCCAGATTTTTTTACAGTGCAAATAATTTCAAAATATTTATTTTAAAAAATTTTAAATTCATTGTATATAATGTTTAATATATTACTTATTCTTTATTTATATATGTCTATATTCAAAAGTATCTAAACTTTTATTCGTACTAAGTTACGCATATTTTATAAACCTTATAAATGTAAATGACATTAAATTTTTAACTTAAAAACTATGTGGTTTTACTTTTTTTTATTTACATAAATAACTTAAAGAATTCTTTTAGATAAAAGTAATCATCGCAATTGTGCTGAAATATATGTATTTATATTAATAAAAATAATAAATATACATTATTTAAATAAATAAACTTAAATTCTCAATATTCTCTTAAATTCTCTTATAGTCTTGTCACGTCCCAAGTTCGATAATAGGGATTTTTGAATATTAAAATGTTGGGGAATTCAACTGCTAAAACACTAAAGTGTACCCTGTAAATAGGTGGGAGATTCAAATTCTACTTTATAATGATTACAACAAGAAATACTTTAAATTGGTTACTTTAATCAACAGTAATGAGTAAAAGTTACAAGTTCGAGCCGAGAAATTACAAGTAATCGGTAAGAGTGCTCGGAGATATCTGACGAGAGGAGATCCTGTGGTCCATGGGTCCCCATAGGACCATGCGCGCGTTGAGTAGAGGGGATGACTACCCCTTCCTTTGAACTTCCCTGTGACCAATACAACCCTGGATGGAGTGTTATTTTACAAGTTATTTACACATTCATACTATTCTTTCATTATTTAAATTTAACATTAACAATATATAAAGTTAATTAATATTTGTTTCGTCAATTACCAAATATATAATAATCGGTTTCAGTTAAATTCATTCGGAGTATTATAATTACATTTTGCATCTGTATATTTAATTACCATAGAATTATGGTAACTTTGAATTACTAATAAGATATTACAATAAACGTAGATAATTTGTATTATAATACAACTTATTATTATTTATTTTATTATTATTATTATTATTATTATTATTATTATTATTATTATTATTATTATTATTATTATTATTATTTAATTAATCAATAAATTAATTAACAAATTCTATACATGTGATTAAAACTTTTATCATTAATTAAGAGTATCAAATTATTTAACTAGTAATGAAATGGTAAACAGTAATCAATTTATACTCGTTGTTTTATAAATTATTAGTGACATACATAGAATTAAGAATGTGAAATTCATATCAAATTTGAATATTGTAATTAAATAGAAAGCTCATTTCTTTTTCTTATAACGAAGGATGAGTCATAGGTTTTTCCTGACGATACAATACCCTTTTTTTTTATACCGGGGACTCGAGTAAGGCCCGAGTCCCACGGTCCCTTTTTTTATTGCTACCACATGTTTGGGTTTTCCAAACGGTTTCGAAGTTCGGAAATATGTATTTCTCAAAAGGCTATTTTTTTATAGAAATAAACTCTGTTTCTTTTCAATTCTAATTTTTGTGTCCTACGTGACATTTGCCTCATTTTCGCAGACTATTTCAACATCTGTAATTTTAACAATTATTCCTTTTCAAAAAGCAGCACATGTTTGGTTGCCATTCTATTTCGTTCTTTAGATTTTTTGCATGTGATAAAATTCTTTACGGAAATAAGCAAATAAATGCATGCGTTTTTATTTTACATTAAAATTCAATTATTATATTGATATTAATTTTGAATCCTAGCGCTATTACCTAGTTACTTCCGTACGAAGAGTTACGTAGTGTTTTTCCCTAGCGGAGAATTACGTGAATTTAGGCCTGCCGTCACACCTCCCGCCTTACTAAAAAAAAATTGTTTACGTAGTAACAATTTTTTCGTTTGTTTTCAGTTTTTAGAATTTAAACAAGTTAAATAAATCTATCTCAAGTTGAAATTGGATTGCTTAAAAGTTGACACAATTAAGTGTTAAATCATGGTATTATATGTTACTGATTTTAAAATGCATTTCTTTTTCAAAATAATGCTGTGACAGTGTATGTTCTATACATAGGTTCTACAAGTCAGCGTCCTATATAATGGGCAGTGTAATTTTAAAAGAAAATACTACTAGTTAAGACCAATATCGAAATTTATTAGTGTAACGAAACTTGTCAGATAAGTATATTAATTTTAATAATATGTGAAAAATTTGTAGGTTTTCTTAGATAAGATTTTTCTTTGTTAAAATATTTATGTTTCAGGTGCTGAATTATAATGTTAACTTGAATGATTTTACATGTTGTCTGAAATTGCGATAAGAAGATTAAAATTGTGTATGCCCTGCTATGGTTATTTGTTTAATTACAAAGGTAAAGTAATTTATCATACGTATATTATTTAATGGCTATGTTGTATTGAACTTTATTTATTTTTATTCGCAGTGTTTGCTAATTTTTTGTTATAATACATGTAATGTTATTTAAACATATTAATGTTTAAATGACTTTTTTTTTTTTTTTTTTTTTTTTATACATACTATTTTTTTTTTATTTTTTTTGTTTTCGCTTTATTATAGCTTTAATCATTTGTTTTCTGTATTTATTACTTACAGCTATTCATTTAATAATTTTAATGTGCTAGTCTTAATTAATCCAAATGAACAATTTTACTTTTACCCGTTTTTTCGTTAATACTTTTTTCGTTAAGCGAACTTAAGATTTTTTTTGTATGTTCCCTTGAGAAACGAATCGAGCTTTCTTTGTCAAAAAAAAAATTTTTTTTTTTTTTTATTGTGCTTTAAGTTAACAATATTGTCTTCCTGAAAATCTACATTACTTGTTATTTGATCATAATAAGTTGTTCTTATTTTAGTTTCGTCGATCCTGACTCGAGCAAGAGCTGTATGGTGTTATCAAGCTTGTGACAAAGATTTTGGAGATATTGAATGTACGTTGAATAAAAAGACGTTGTGGCAAAACGTACAGGGTGTAAAAACTGTAGGTTCATGAACTTGAGTATTATAGAAGAAAAATATCGAACCGGAGCTATTCATCCCAATTGTAACCATTTTTAAATGAACAGAGGTATTCAACAAGTGTCTGATGGCTTCGTTCTAATGAACCGAGTATTTGGGAGTGATATGTGGTCAATTGAATTTTCCTAATTCTTAAAACTTTGCAGACGGTCAAAATGATTTTGCTAATGAAATTTCGGATCTAATCGGTATGTATAACTATGGAACAATTATATCTGTAAATGAATTGTTTTGCAAATGCATTAGCGATAGTTTGAGAATTAATTTTCGTTCAAAGAAAGATAAAGCATTGGAATATTTTAAAAATTTACGTTGGATAGTAAGAATATATAATATCGATTTTTCGCGCAGAATTACGGGTAATGGCCCGTATAATTAATTAATTCGACAATATGTTTTAAAAAGATACCTTTTTGTTCGCCAGTAGTGGATTCATGGGATTTTTTAATTATATATATATTTTTTCTATTGTGAGGGGTAATTATCTCCCCAAAGCATGTTAATTAATTTCAATTTTTGTACCAGGAAGATGTTGGAGAAATAACTTCTCTGCGAATATCTAGGATACTTCATCCAAATTATTAATTTTACTAGAAATTATAGCGAGATATTTAATGAAATCATAGCATTTTTGCATGCCAAAATAGATTTTAAAGGACTTTCAAGTAGGCCTTTGCAGTTGACATATTTTTCGATATAACATGAAAATTTTGATTATTTTGGGCGAATACGATTACTTCAAAGTTTAAAGATTACTTTCAAGACTTAACAAAATTTTACTTTCGAATAATTCACGACTTATTTGCGAATCTAAATTACCATCACATGCCAAAAAAAAGAATTGGACCATGTGGCTTTTAACCATTGACACAGAGTACTTGCTGTACGAAAGACCAGCATTTGTAATTAATTTTATTATTTTAGATTTTTGCAAAAAGTCTTTAATTTCTTTTTCTTGACTTTCCCATGAAATTTTTACACTGGTTCCACTACCTTGATCAGGGGTAGCTTTCCCATTAACTGTACAAATACTCAATACTTGAGCCTTATCTTTCTCCCACGTACGGTTAACTTGTGTCCATTTAGATCGGCACTGTGACTTAATATTGAGCTTAATCCCGACGAGATTGTCAGATTATAAAAGAAAACTCGGACAAGATGGTTTTCACACAGGGGTGTGGAAACATCACGTCACCAAGAACATGTCTGTTCAAATAATTGATACCACAAATTTTCATCTAAGGTGTCAATTCATTCATGAACATCCTTGTATACGGCAACTCCTACAGGTTTTACAACACGCTCAGATACCTCATGAAGGTTTACGCCAACCGTGCCCGTCACAGTGCTTTGGGATCCCCGTCTATACAAGAACATGATTTAAGACGACTTCCGGAAGGTTTGTGTCACTCAATGGACGTTACCGTCGTGTAGAAAACAAGATTCATGAGAAAGCAAGTTTTAACAAGTTTTCAACAAAAATTGGAAATTCATCAGAGACATAACATTTATTTTCCAAGACATAACTTTTGTGCATTTTTTTTCATTTACAACATCATACGGGTTTCTAGAAAGACATCCGCGTTTGCATTAATAGCACCTTGTTTACATTTTATGTTGTAATCGTACTCGCTCAATTTTATTCTCCTCCGTGGTAAACGGAAAACAAGATTTTTAAAATTATACAACCATACGAGCAGTCGATGGTATGTAACAAGAATATAACAAATCGTTCCATTGAAAATAGAGATATCCTATTTCAGGAGGTAATTAAGAGGCTTAGTAATGCGAGCAATTTGTAAAATAAATTTTGCGACAATGTCTGACAAGCTCTAGAAATAGTTTAACATTCTTTAGTTTTTTAGGGATTGAAAATTCCCATAAGACAATGATTTTATTTGACTCAAGTTTCTTGCCATTTTCAGAAAAGATATGACTGTTATAAGAAATAGAATTTATCAGGCTGTAATGCCTGTCTAACAGTTTTTTTTTATTTTACCAAACTATGATTTGAATTTCGGTATATGCTCTTCTATAGAATTAGCATAAGTGAATATGTATAGATAATGAGAGGAACCTTTCAAAAGTGATTGAGGATGTCAGTGATGTTTGTTGGAACCTGTATAGATTTTGCCAATACAATCTTCTGATAAATTTCATTTAATAATAGGGTTTTCAGTTCGACAGTTGTTTTGGATCTAGTCTTGAATTTTATTACAAATTTTGACTTTAATGTGACGTATTGTTCTCCAAAATGAAGGAATTTGTTTATGAATATTTTTTTTTTTTTTTTTTTTTTTTTTTTTTTTAAATCCACCTTTTTCTCAAAAAGAAAGGAAAGGGGTCTACCTAAAATACTCTTATATTCAATGGGAAATTTTTTATCGATAATTAAAAAGATGTCTTTACTATGTTTCGACTCCGATTATATTTTAAATATCCTCTGTTATTTACTTTTATTGTAGGTTTCAAGATATTTATTTTAAAGGTACTAACAATAACGCTCGTGTCTATCGTGAAATATAACATTAATATTCGTTTAGTGTCCTTTTACTACTACCATCAAAATGTAATGCTTAAAAATTTATTAGTGTTCGAAATATAATTGATTTCGCTACTTCAATTAATTTTATTATCGTTTACTTAAATAAGAAAATTTTGAGAAATTCTATCAGTCTCAACCGTAGTGTTTTATTTTCTTTTACAGTCCCGTTTTTTTTTTTATGAGCCAATAGCGCGATTATTATTATAATTATTTGTTGTTAGATCTCGTTGATAGCAACATCTTCAGAATAAAGCGAAATTAAATATAATATTTCAAAGAAAATATAATTTACATATAGATAATTGAAGTTAATTTTTAAATTTGATGGCGAAATTTTTATATAAAAAAAAGAAATTGATTTTTTCGTAGAGAGTAGTCTAATCTACCATAGTTATTTATTCGAAAAGGTACAATTAGCAAAATTCGTAATTCGAATCAAATAAGAAATTTTCGGTTTTTTTTTTCCTTTTTTTTTTAGATATGTTTTTTTTTTTTTTTTTTCTTTACTTACAGTTCGGATGTATGAATCTTAAATTTTGTGTCGGTAAAAAAAAACAACATCTTTACACACACATTCAAATTCGCACAGGGTTTACCAGTCACAGGAAGTTGTCTGCAGTCCCAAATGATTATCGTAATTGCTGCTACCTTCTTCAGGTAAGTTCCAAATTGTTGACAACTTGATGAATCGATGTCTTTCACTGATTATTTTTAACTGTCTTTATTGTTTATAGGATTTTTGTTGCCTACGGTTATGAGGGTATGTCACGTGGTCCTACATTAACCGTGTTCGATCTTTGGTACTCAAACAAATACCACTAGCTTCCAGAGTAAAAAAACCACGTCAAAAACTCTTGGAAGAAAATCGAGGCTTTAAAAAAGACATCACTAAGATCATAATTGTTCAAGAGTCAATAAAAATAAATTTCACAACTTATAATAAGATTGTACAACCGCTGTTTCATTTTCACAATACCATCACTTTAATGTCACTTTAAATTTAATTGTCAAATATTTTTGTTTATATTATTCTCACTAAAAGTTAAAAATGTCACTGTTTGAATTTTCGGCACCACACTAATCAAAATGTTCCCGAAAGGTACCGATGGTTCAAAACACAAATTTTTTAATAGTCCTTTCACAGGTGCAGTATCCCACCGCTGTCACCAAAAATTGTCACGTCCCAAGTTCGATAATAGGGATTTTTGAATATTAAAATGTTGGGGAATTCAACTGCTAAAACACTAAAGTGTACCCTGTAAATAGGTGGGAGATTCAAATTCTACTTTATAATGATTACAACAAGAAATACTTTAAATTGGTTACTTTAATCAACAGTAATGAGTAAAAGTTACAAGTTCGAGCCGAGAAATTACAAGTAATCGGTAAGAGTGCTCGGAGATATCTGACGAGAGGAGATCCTGTGGTCCATGGGTCCCCATAGGACCATGCGCGCGTTGAGTAGAGGGGATGACTACCCCTTCCTTTGAACTTCCCTGTGACCAATACAACCCTGGATGGAGTGTTATTTTACAAGTTATTTACACATTCATACTATTCTTTCATTATTTAAATTTAACATTAACAATATATAAAGTTAATTAATATTTGTTTCGTCAATTACCAAATATATAATAATCGGTTTCAGTTAAATTCATTCGGAGTATTATAATTACATTTTGCATCTGTATATTTAATTACCATAGAATTATGGTAACTTTGAATTACTAATAAGATATTACAATAAACGTAGATAATTTGTATTATAATACAACTTATTATTATTTATTTTATTATTATTATTATTATTATTATTATTATTATTATTATTATTATTATTTAATTAATCAATAAATTAATTAACAAATTCTATACATGTGATTAAAACTTTTATCATTAATTAAGAGTATCAAATTATTTAACTAGTAATGAAATGGTAAACAGTAATCAATTTATACTCGTTGTTTTATAAAATTATTAGTGACATACATAGAATTAAGAATGTGAAATTCATATCAAATTTGAATATTGTAATTAAATAGAAAGCTCATTTCTTTTTCTTATAACGAAGGATGAGTCATAGGTTTTTCCTGACGATACAATACCCTTTTTTTTTATACCGGGGACTCGAGTAAGGCCCGAGTCCCACGGTCCCTTTTTTTATTGCTACCACATGTTTGGGTTTTCCAAACGGTTTCGAAGTTCGGAAATATGTATTTCTCAAAAGGCTATTTTTTTATAGAAATAAACTCTGTTTCTTTTCAATTCTAATTTTTGTGTCCTACGTGACATTTGCCTCATTTTCGCAGACTATTTCAACATCTGTAATTTTAACAATTATTCCTTTTCAAAAAGCAGCACATGTTTGGTTGCCATTCTATTTCGTTCTTTAGATTTTTTGCATGTGATAAAATTCTTTACGGAAATAAGCAAATAAATGCATGCGTTTTTATTTTACATTAAAATTCAATTATTATATTGATATTAATTTTGAATCCTAGCGCTATTACCTAGTTACTTCCGTACGAAGAGTTACGTAGTGTTTTTCCCTAGCGGAGAATTACGTGAATTTAGGCCTGCCGTCACAGTCTCTTAAAAAAATTAAATTACCGTAATTTCCTTAGGGAAATTACCCCAACTTAAATTCTCGAGAATTTAAGAACACTAGCTGCCGCCTATACCTTCCCCACTCTATTTATAATATCTCTATGGTAAATTGTTACGAGCGACTACCTCTCGCTCGTTAACTTTCGATGTATCGATTTACGAGTTATCGAAGCGCGAAATTATAACATTTCGTTAATAAACTTAATTATTTTAGTATTTTCTCACGACTTTAGACAAATATTGACGAGACTAAACAAGAAAGTTTGACTATTGTAAAATATAATACTTCACGGTTTAATAGCTTCCAAATTCCGAAAATGTATTCGAAAATCAACATTTCTTAGAATTGTCATAAATCATAAGGGGAATAGCGAAAGAAAATGTAATCTCTAGTTTCTTTAGAGTCATAAAACCGAGAAACTCTTGAAAGAATATAAAAAATATCTCAAGTGTCCTTTTCCATACACGGAGAGACCCACATTCGTAAAAATTACTAAAAATGGTTGCAATGACCGGAAATAAGGGGACTTTTAGCATAATGTGCTACAGAATTAGATAAATTTACAAAAGAAATAGATAAATTTGCTACATTGAAATAGCAAGTTTTAATATTTTGTGTAAGAGTTGTAAATGTAGCAAAAATTGATTATAGTTTTCTCTAATTTAATTAGACAAAATCTGACAAATGAAAACATTTTCCACTAAAACCTACGATCCACTGTAGTAATTTTTGGTGAGCAAGTGTGGCTAGCGAGTGCAGTCATATGGAGCCTGCATTTCTATTGGTTGCTAACTTCGTCAATCTCCGTAAATGAGCCGATGCCATCCGATCATTGACAGTGACTATGTTTCGCGTAGGTAAAATAAATTTGGATATTATCTACAATAATTAAATATAAAGTGAAACGTAGGTCCTTCGTTATCTCAGAAATTGACCATTATAAATTAATAAACTTTGCATTTATTCCTGTCCCAAGAACTATGTCTTATAATAAGTTGTTAAAAGTAAACTGCTTTCTCGTAAGTGCTGTTAATTTTCATCATTCAATATATAAGGAAACAAAGATGTATACTTTCAGTGAAATTCGTTGTCGTGCGTGCAGTTGTGTATTAGTGTATTAATTAACCGCGTCTATACATATAAGTGAAATAAACATGTGTGTGTCTTCAAATATTTATCCAACAAATATATAAGTGTGTGTGCCTGTGTATGTAAAAATTCTTCCAGTTTGTCTCCATTAGTCAAGAATTGACGGGAAACCGGCGACAAAAATCCGTATTTTTTCTTTCACTTTTTCTTTCTGCATTTACAAACGACTGTAGTAATTTTACGTACACCATAGGTTTGTTCTCGCTAGCTACACTTTCTACACTTTGTACAAAAGTGTACACTACGGCGTTCTCATTACCAGAAGTGACGCAATAGTGTACACCTAACTCCCTAGAAGCCCGTGCACTTTTCCCTATTTTATTACACCCGATTGGGAGCGAGTGTAATTGAGTGTTCTGATTAAAATGGCGGTAAATGGACATTTTATTTAAAATGCATTAATTATTTTATGAACATAAAATTATAATATATTTCTTAGAGACTTTTAATTTGTAAAATTATTAGTAAGCAATTTTTATTTTGTTAATATTTATATAAAGTACCACATTATAAACAATTAACATTGTAAAGCAATTTTTAAATAATTATTTTCCAATTTATTAAAACCAAACTTTAATTACATAGAATTTAAAAAAAAATTTCTTAATTTTGTGATGGTACACATATTTTTTAAAAAATAATAGAATTTATGAAAAAAATTAAGTTTAAAAGATAACCTTTAGAATATTTCAAAACATGTCGCTTCCGTTTTTCTTGAAACTTATGTGAAAATGAAGCTTAAAAATTCTAGTTTTATTTTCTGTAAAAATGAGCAATTCGGTTGAAATTAAGAAATTAATTAAATTTTACAAAGATGTCAGAGTTTAAACTGTGTAAAAATTTGAAAAAATTAAATTCTGCTCGGTACATACATTTAACCTTCGAAATTCTTGTAAAATTTAATTAATATCTCAAATTTCCATGGATTGCCCATTATAAAGTTTACAGGGAATAATAGGAATAAATCCTATTATTTAAAAAAAAATTTTAACATCATAAAACTGATAAATTTTTCTCTTAAAATCACTAATAGTAAATAAATTTTGGCTTTAATAAATGTGAGAAATAATTATTTAAAAAATTGCTTCACAATGGCAATTGTTTATAATATGGTTTGTTTTAAATAAAATGACCCATATATTTAATTATAAAACCTAACTATATTACAGATTGTATGCAGTTTACAATTAAGATAGCGTTAATTTTTTTTTTCATTTTTTCGTGCACTTTCTCTACACTTTTGCGTTCTCGCTAGATTTTGTACTTTGTTTAAGTGCGCATGCTCCGTTTTACACTCTTATTACACTCGAGAGTAGCGGTGTAGCTAGCGAGAACAAACCTCATGCTTCTGAGTTTACTACAGTTATTTGGAACTATTGGACGAAATAGTAAGAAACTTTGCTAATTTGGTGAACATTTGTCGGGATTAGTGACTTAGTGTAGAAAATAGTAAAAAATACAAAAAGTCCCCTTATTTCCGGTGGTTGCAATGTGAAAATAGTAAATTCTAGTGTGATTTTATACAAAAATTAGTAATCTCGGTCTCTCCGTGTAGGACAATGCAACATGTGTTTACCATACACTGTAAAAAAATCTGGTGTAAATTTACTATGTCCGACGTTGGAAAGTTTGGTCACTATGTCCGACGTGGTATTTTTACACGCCGACTGTAATCTACATAACCTGCAAATATTTTTTGAAATAATATTTTCAGTCGTAACTTTTTGTATTTATGAAATATAGCCCAAAACTTTTTGTAATATTATTATTTACTTATGAATTAGCATATACTTTCTATAAATGTACATTATATACACTTTTTTAGAGTTATTTATAAAAACTTGAAAATTTTTCGAAAATCTTAAAGGAATAAGAAAATTACATTCGCCATGTAATTGTACAGATCGTGCGACGTAATATTACGTCAAAGTGTAGAAATACACGCAATGTAAAAATACCACGTCGGACATAGTGATCAAATTTTCCTACGTCGGACGTAGTAAATTTACACAAAACTATTAAATTACATAGTCGTATAATGTAAAATTATTAAAAATAGTAAAACTACTTTTGGAACGAAATAAATTTACTACGTACAACCTATAATTTTGATGTGTGAAATTACAAGTTTTGTGTTATTTTACACCAGATTTTTTTACAGTGTACTTGTGACCACAGAAATGGCTTCGAAAAGTCACGTACACATAGACTTTCATTATGCGACGAACTTTAATTATCAATTGTATAATATGAACATTATGAACAATTAAAAACAATATTATATTGTTGCTAATTGTGCAGTATGAATGTATTATTTGAAAATGATATTATTAGTAAACTTTATCTAATTGATATTGTTGTAATATTGTGGTATTGGATGTATATATATATATATATATATATATATATATATATATATATATATATATATATATATTTGTAACGTATTAAAATAATTATAATATTATATCATGATATATTATCAAATTGGTTATCGTTTAGAGCTGTGCAAAATAATTCGAACCGAACTGTTCGAATTTTTTCGCCTAGTTCGAATGTCGAAAATTCGACATTCGAGTTACACGGAAAAAAAAGTTCACGAATCTCTCGTGAACTAGTATATCACTTTTGGATGGGACACAAAATTCTTGAAAATCAACAAACACAGTTCGTCAAAATTTCATCAACTCCTTCACTAGAAACATAGTACGGTTTCCGAACTTTTCGTCAAAGTTAACGAAAAATTCGTGAACTTTTAAAAAATGCTAAAAACAAGAAAAAATAATTTCCAGACACTACTTTTTTATAGTATTTCACTTTATTTGATAACTTGACGCCTATTACGCATCCAACTACACAGAATACACAATTTTATCGCCATTAAAATTCGTAATTCGCTTCACGGGATTCAAACCTAGTACCTATACCCTACCCTATTGAAAATCCCCAAATGGGAAACCACATGGGAAACCACATGGGATCCTAT